TATATATATATGATAGAGATATGAAGACTTTTCTGCAGTCTTATTTTTTTTATAATTTATTTACATTTACTTTTGACAAAGGATTGGAATCTGAGCTAAGCAATGCGTATCGTTCAAGTATGCTCCTCTCTTGAATATGGCATATGTCACCATATTTGCAAGGACACTGCACGAAATTAAAGTTTTATAAATGCTATTAATGTACAGAGAAAAAAAATCGCAACGATCTCAGCAGTGTCATGCGACATACGTCCAACTGGTGTAATTGAAAATCAAATATTTTTGAAACAATCGAAAACTAGTGTTGCGCATTACCTTCTCTCCATATCATAAAGTCGAATACAAATTTGATAATTCGGATGGATATCAGAGAAGCATAGTAATAACATGTCCTGAAGAAGGCCATGTTATTGTAAGAACAGCAAAATGTACTTTTCTTTATTACTTTTTTATTTTGTTTTAGAAGAAAAAACATTGTTGATCATGTTGAGGGCAAGTTATTAATTAATCGTTCACATAATAGATATAGATTATATAAAATATTAACCATGAACAAATATCTATAACTATGTTTATATTTGTTGGTTAATACACTATAATGGATGCAATTAAATGGGCTGATGAAAACAATTTAAAAGTTATATTAATCTGTGATAGTGAACTGTCGTACTGTGTTGTAGGATAATGAATCATCCTTAATCTAATGATGTTTATACAACAATACACATCTTGTAGAAAATCTCTTTATGTGTTAGTGAAGAAATGACTCCAAATCCGAACGTTTTTCGTGTATGCCTACTTCTCAGCAATCTGATTCAAGCCCATATGGATCCAATGAAATTTTGTGAAATTTGAATCTTGATAAAACTATTGACAAAATAAGATCGAAGAAATAGTATAAGAAGAGATTACTAACAGAATCACCATTTATGTGTTAAATACAGATTAATTTTTATAACGATTATTCATTTTTGTTTAAATGTTATTGAGTGCAAATTTTTACACGAATCAATCAATGAAAGGGGTGGGGCAGAGGAGAGAACGTTTATTAATAATTTTAATTTCTAGTCAGCGTATGGCTTCATGGTGCCAGGTAGGAATGTCGAACGATCTCTTACGAACATGAGAATCGGGCCACGAATAATATCCTACGAGGTCCTAAGCATAGCCAAGTAATGATGCCTTCTAATGATATTGAACATTAGTCATCAAAATAAATGTGACAATAAAGCTGTTACCTTCACAATATAAAAATGTAATATTAAAATAATAAATACAATATAAATATAATAAAAAAATATTTTATTTTACATTTATGTGCGACATACTATTTTTAAAATTCACTATGTTTTAAACCATAAATTAAATTTAATATTTCTTGTGGAGTTAATTAAGTAATTAAACATTCGTTGTGTACATATTTATGCCCTACTATAAAGTTGGGTTACAATATATTGGGGACTTCTATCCCTGCATCTAACGGCGAGCAAGTGGTTAATCTGGTTTTGTGCAGTCTCAACGTGATCCTATCCCTCTCCCCCTTGGATTAACTAACAACACTGCTCGTCATGAACAACGGAAACCGCATAAACGCGCCAATTTACATAGCAATATCTACGAAGTTCAAAGGGTCCGCACCGCCAGGAAGAAAGGGCCACGGGTCACATTCTGCACATCAGCATCCCGCACGAGCGTCGCAGTATTTCCACATGCACACCTTTACAAAACGCCTCCTCCCCCCCCCCCTCCGTTCACCATCCTGCGAGAAGTATCCCTGCAACAGCAGCACGCCCGACTAGAAAGTAAAAACGACAGAGACGCAGCACGTAAATTATGTATTAAGTGTACACGAGTTTCTAGCCGTAAAAGGGGGAAAGAAATAAAAATAAAAGCAACGCGACCGATGTTTGATTCATGGGAGACCACAGACAAATCGGAACGTTGCTTTGAATATGAGAGAAAGATCGAGACTAGATTACGAGCTGTATAAGTTTCTGGAATACATAACAGCGGACTTCCTGTCAGGGAGAATCAGTCTTGCCAGATTTGTAGGCGAAGATTATCGTATATCTTTCTTTCATCGTCTCGTCGTCAAATATGTCATTCGGAAGCCAAAATATTACTCTTTTGACAGTGAAGAAAACAATCACGTTTGAAGGACGAGGATAATAAGATTACATCGTGGAAACCAACGAAATATGTGCCGAGGGAATGCCGATCTGTGTTTCAGAAAGCGCATTCAATATGTTTTACGGAGAACACTTAGGTGAGGGAATTATTTACTGAACCTCAGCACTATTGTTTTCGTATCTATAATATTTCTTAAGCAAATATATAAAACATTTAATGTGTAAATAAAAAGTTACATATTCCGATTCCATAGTCTGCTCTTTATGGACATTATTGTAATTTTGCATAGGATTGATGAATGTAGCATTTGCGTTAAGAATTATTTCAAAACCAATTTTGGTGGAGAAAATGCATAATGTTAACTTTACACATTTCTTTTCGAAACCACCACGGGCACACATAACGTAGTAGTTAAGCCCCACCTCCCTGAGAAAAAAACACTTTATTTGTTTTTGTTTCTAAAGTGAAAACGCAAATATTGTCTTAAACGATACTACAATATGTTATATATTTTCCCAGAATTTTTCTGTTTTATTTTACCCCATTATGATGCATTTTTCAATAAATTGAGTTATATAGGGAGTAGTTCGCCCATCAAACAGCGAATAGAACAATGCACTAATATGGATCATTAACATACCTTTATCACTTCAAGTATTGCTTTTCTACGAAAATATTGTATTTTTCTATGCGAAACACAGAATTCAATTCTTACAGCTGCCACTGTTGGAAGGCAATTCCACGCCTTCAAAACGTATTTTTGTTTCTTTATTTCTCACAGCATCTTCAAAATACAACAAAATCGAAAAGAGTTATCGTGGGAAGTTTTCTTGTAAGAAGAACACGAAATTTCAAATTGAAATTTGGATACAAATATTATATCTTCATTTCCTCTTCCATTGCATCCAATTTTTGCTTATTTCATTATTCCTTTGGAGAGTACGAACTGTATAGACTCATGTTATTTGGAATTCATAAATGTCGAAAAAAGAACGTTTGACAAGAAATTTGAATTTCTATGACTCGTACATTGGAAATCTAACAGTGCGCATTCAATTTTTCTAAAATTGGTTTCACGAAGTAACAAAACCTATAGATACGCATTGCTGATTTACGCCGAGAAGTGGAACACGCGACTTTCATCCGCCTCGTCGAGCTCGTACCAGCTACCCCTACACCAGGCGAATGTGCAGTTCGTTCGTGGATAATTTCACATTAGAAGCCCACAAGCATCCTTGCCGCGCTCCGCGTTCTACTATATCCCCCCCTACGCCCGCGCCACACTCCGTTCCCATCCCCGTTCCCATCCCCGTTCCCATCCCCGTTCCCATCCCCGTTCCCATCCCCGTTCCCATCCCCGTTTACCGCCCCGCCCCACCCCGCTCCGCACCACCCCGCCCTGCCACGTTGCACCCTATGGCCGCGGGCGCCTGCGGCCAAGTACGGCCTCTTCCTTCCAAACGCGAACGCCAGCTGGGAGGGGGCGGAGAGGGGGGACGCAGGGCACGCGGCCCGTGCGGGCTGCAAAAGGGTACGCGGGTGCCGAACCCTTTGCAGCTTGCCTCGCGCCATAAACCCTTTGTTAAAAAAAGAAGGGAAAAAAATACTTTCGGGCGTGGTATTGTGACGGATAACCATCGTACTTTCCCCCTTTCCTCGCACAACTCCCCTACGTACGTAAGACCTTTTTTAACACAAAAACGTCCGTGAAAGCAATAAATGAAGGGTTGGAACACTTTCTACCCTGGGCCGGATTTTTGCTAACAAACACGAAGGGTCGCGGGTGAGGGAAAATGGGTGCTTTTTTAACCTGATTTTTGCTAACAAACACGAAGGGTCGCGGGTGAGGGAAAATGGGTGCTTTTTTAACCTGAAGTCAGAACCCATTAGATTTATGGATAGAGGTGAATCCTTGCATTTTATGGCGCGCTGTCACTACATTCCGTGTACTTTAAGAAATTTCCCATCCTTTCCCTTTTAAGGTCACTTTTTTATGATCCCTTGTTCACAAGGCACCCGAATGCCCGACGGCGATCAGCAATGTTCATCGCATACATGTAGTCAACCAAAGACCTCGTCGGAAAGACTCTTCAAAAACAACAAGGCTAAACGTATGTACGCTTCACAATTTCCATAAAATATGGATGTCTGACACATCCCACAATGAATAAAACGCTAAAAAACATACGTTTCAGTGTCAAATTTCTTCTCGCACAAACGAACAATTTCTACTATGTCACGATTTTCATTATTTCACATGTGTCGGAAATTACAACCGTGTCATCATGTAGATGTCATTTTGTAGAATTTGTAGATTCACGTAACAGAATTCTGTAAACCTTTTCGATCTTCCAAAAGTAATCACCATATTAAACATATTCCACTCTGATAAAAGAAGTTTTTCTTCTCTATATTATGAAACAAAACTTAAGTATTATTTCGCATTCATTTTGATTGAGATGTTCAGAAATAAATGAATGTAATTTGTAAGTATTAGACCTAGATCGCTAATACGTCCAGCTCTCATTAAAATAGCTTATTCCTCAATTTCTCACTGTTAAGATTGAATTTCAAAAGTGACATACCACATTAGCAGAAAAGAAAAGTGTGGCACACTAATCCCAGAATTCTAAATTTCAATAATTAATAGTTAAACTCGTATGTATATTTCACAGAACTTGAAACAAAACTACTCTTATATTTAAATAGGAAGATAACTTAATGCACTTTCAAATAAATATTCTTCAAAAATAAACAAAATATGATAAAATTGGTTCAAATATGTACTAATAACATTTCAAATAGTGCCAACAACAAAAGGGAGCAAGTGAGGTACATTCTTTTAATAAGTAGAATGCCCTACAGCACATTAAGTTTGAATGCACAATTAAATCTTCAATATATTAATTAGAATTTTCTGTCAAAAATTATATCGCACGTAAAACAATTAAAGAAACGAACAAAAAATTTGAAAATGTTAGACTAAATGAATAAGTAAAAATTAATTAGACTTACCGCCCACTGCATTTTCCTCCACGATGAACGGAAGTGATTGAACGAACATGCGACACCCAAGTTCATCTAAAAATAAAAGATGATATTTATTTTAAGCAACTAGTGGCCTGCAGCACCAAAAATCCTCCGCCACAATACTACACAAAATAGTTTTCAAAAAAGTAGCTCATTTCTCAAGAACCAGAAAAAATACTCTCGTATGAAATTGCAAAAAAATTAATTCGTGAACAAAAACAGTCTTCATGAATGCTACAATAACAAATTATAATATATACGATAAAACAACACATACTTTCTCGCCCTATTTTCACGCAAAATTACGCGAAAAGTATTCAAAGTTTCGAAAAATTGTACATAACCGTATTTCACAATCTATCTTAAAGGAGAAAAAATTCTATTTTTAATGTTTTAGTTGTAGGAAACATTTAAACTTTGGCCATTTTCGAAAAATCAGGGTTTTCAACGAACATGAGGCCTGCACCATTCTCTTAAACGTCCTTCACACTAACAAAAACATTTAATAAAAACGATGGAGTCATTTTTTGAAAATTTGGAAAACGTGCAAAGCCCCCCCCCCCTCAATTAAAATATTGGTTTCAAATTCAGAAGGCCGCGACACCTGCCATATCGATAAGGGATTATCAACTTTGGAGGCTGAACGGTTTAGTCGCTAGCGTTGTTCACAGACGGACAGACAGACGTTTTGCCTTCATTCAATTTTTCGGTATCAAAGATTCACAAAACATGGATTCTGATTACACGACGTGATAGAGGAATTTTTTCTAAATTTAGGAAGTGGATTTTGTCATGTATTCGTTACCAGGGCCCTGTAATAAGAGCATTTGTGCCGAAAATGCGCTATTTGCATTAGTTTTTTCGCGCAGCATTACATAACTTTCTCTCTACTCCGCAGCGAGAACGTAAAAAGTTGCTGCTCCATAACACGTGAACACCAAATAATTAATGGCGAACGACCTCTTCCTTGGAGCCTTGTCATCGTATGACGTCAGCTGTTCCATAAGCAATGACGCACTGAGTATAATAATTCAGTAGCTATCAGTAATTTAGATACTAGGGTAATATAGCAGCAAAAACTGCACATCTATTGGCCGACACATAGAAGATACTAGTAAAACAATTCTGTACATTACATCCGATTACGTTGTGGAATAGTTTGGGCCTCAGCCAACATCCGCATACCTGCAGGATTGCCAGAGTGTTTCAACTTCACAGGAGATATGCTCTATGGAAACGCATAATTTGCACAACATCGAAACTTACGGAAGGGAATGGAAACGGGCTGGAGAAGGAAGGATCGCGCTGAGTCCATGGCCCGTTTAAGGTATTGCGCCGGAATCTGCCTAGAATGGATTTTATACATATTGTACTATCATTCCAATACTATATAATCGTAGTGGACCTCGCTCACCTGAGAGGGTTATACAAATTAATTATTTTATTCTGTCACATTTTTTATCAATTGAATGAGATGCAATTTTATCAATCGAAGACTTATCGGTTTGTGCTATGTTTTGCTTAAAATATTTTCCAGTTACAGGAATGACATTCAAGATCTCAATATTCTCTCTTCTTGCAAAATGCCTTTTAACATCTATTGGGCCAATGTCTGTTTCTTGTGCTTGTTACTACACTATCTTTATTCCTATGACGGACGACAGTCAAGATTACATATCGTTTATTATCATTTAAAATGATGCTCGTTTTTAAACATTAGTTGTAACATTACTTCTATTATATAGCTTTGGGTCGCAACGGTGTGAAAGCAGGATACATATTCCCTCGTTATTGTTAAAACTTACGACTATGATCAGAAACAAATATTTTGTTCTCCCGTCAGATATCACAAACTAATATTCTGAGAAACGTCTATTGAACATTGCAGATATCTTTCAGATCGATCGAAAGGGTTAGTACATAAATTGGGATAAATTGTATTCATTCTAGTGATCCAGAATAGTTAAAATCCGATTTTGATAAAATTGCTGTCGTATGTATACTTCTAAAACGAATTGATGTTTGTTGTAAAATATATGGTTGATGCGAGGCCTTTGTTTGTGTTTAGTTCAGATATTCATACATACCAACACTTAGTAGTACCCACTCGCACAAGTCAAATTTCACGCTCAAGAGCATGATAAGCAACCTACCTCCTCCTGCATGTATGATATTTTACAAGATTTACTTTAATAAAGTCAAGACAGACCACCACTTTACAACAGACCCAAAGTTTTGTCACCATTGTTTTTTCAACGATACTCGTACTGCTGAAGTTTCAGGAATTAACTCTTAGTGATTTATGTATCTAATTTTTTCAAGTGCAATTCGTTCTTGATTTTGAAGTCTAATCATATCATTTTTAAAAATAATCGTTATTCATTCATTTTCAATAAACAATTCTGGTATCCTTCTCTCTTTTTGATTTATTTTGTCAAAAAACAGTAAAAACTGTATGTGATGTATGGAGAGAAAATCGACTGCGCACGTTTTCTTGAGTTCCAGAACCCCTTTCCAACATTTGAACTATAAATAGTTGAAAGATATTAAAAGTGTAAAAAAAATAACAAATTAAATAATAATAATAATAATAACAACAACATATTAAAAACGCGAGATTAGTAACATTTGTAGAAACTAGACGTTTTCTTTCCCGAGTTATAGAAAACTTATTTGCATCAACAAACAAACTCCAGATTTGATTCATCTGTATTGCCAACAAAATAGCAACTTACCCCCAGCTCTACTCCTACCACCTCTCCAAGAAAAAGGGGAGTTCAACAAAACGTGCACAGAATGAAGCTATACTTATGCCCAGAAACAAAACAAGAGGTCATCTCAGGATTCGCTCAATGGATCAAGGAAAGTGGACAAAAACCTGATCGAGATAAGGGGTCATTGACCCGGAAACTAAAGTACATGCACATTATGTCTGTTTTTTTAATTATACCATACAAATGTAAGTGAATGCATTTTACAACATTGTTTGATTACAATAAATATTATTATTTTTCGTTTTAAAATTTAGTTTAGTCTCTAATTGTATAAAAAAGAGACATAACATCAGAGAATATTTTAACTTAAATTTTTGTACCAACTTTAATTGTTAATGTCATCTGGCAATGCGTTTAATGTCATCTGGCAAATAATGTGGATTAACTGTAAGTGGATTTCTTGTCATGATCAATTGGCAGAGAACTCGAAATATAAGTAAATGTCCTTTCCTGCCAATACGGTATTTCTAGTCTTTGAGATCCATGATTATGGTACGAGGTTATCCAGTCTAGGGCAACATCGCGAATTCCATCTGAAGGTAATTTCGAGAGCAGAATGTTATGGTCTACGTCAAAAGCTTTCGAAAGATTTCAAAATAATCCAATGGGTATTTCGTCTTGGTCCATTGATGAAACAACATCTTTAAGAAAAGAAAATACTGCAGTTTCCGTAAATTTTGATTTTCTAAAACAGTGTTGTGAGTCTGAAAACGATTCGTTTTTCCTAAAAAAAAGTTTCCGTTCGTGATAGAAAAGTCTCTCTAATGTGTTTAAGAAAACTGACAAAAGATAAATTGACCGATAATTTTTTAATTTCATTTTTGTGCTTTTTTTAAAAAGTGGCTTAATGTTTGCTGTCTTGAACATATCTGAAAATATTCCTGTGCATAAAGAAGCAATGAAAATGAGAGTTAACGGATGTATAAAGGCAGGTGCAGAAGCTTTTAATAAACAATCCAGAAATTCATACAAACGAGATTAATGTTTATATTTTAGTTTACCGATTCTTCTGAGGATTCATTAGAAGTAGTTTCAGAAATAAATATAGTGTCGAAAATTTTTGGGAGGCGTATGATGTCGAATTTTGTGGTTTTAGTCCCTTCGTGAGATCAGCCCCAATTCTGGAAAAGTGTTGGTTAAAGAGATTAGCAACTTTTTCCGGTTTACTTTCATTTCTTTTATTATCCTTTAAAACAACATTCTCTATAAAGTATCCAGACGATACTATCGTATTTTTTTTACAATATTCCACATTGCTTTAGTTTTCTCACTAGCGTTCAAATCCTGAATATCATCAATATTTTTCATTATTTTTGCCTGAAGTATTACTTTTCTTAAAATTGTTTTGTATTCCCAGAAGTAGACATGGAAACTGGGTGATACATTATGATGATTAGAAGTAAAGTAAAGCGTACGTTTGGGTTTACAGGATGTTCTAATTCCTTGTGTTATCCAAGTATTACTTGCCGTGAAATGTTTGATTTTCTGTTTTTACGAGGAAATCACGCACAATGTGAAATTAAAACTTTGAGAAAAATAAATTATATTTTTCATTAGTGTCAATAGTGTTTTAAACTAAGTGCCATGATGATATGTCGCCTTTTCTTATGTAGTAACTGTATCCTTTTTATCAAATTTTCACTTTTATAATAAAAACAAGATACAATATTTATTCATTGACAATATTTGTTTGTAATGTTCGTTTTCGATTGTTATCTTTATTCTTGCAAAACTTCAATTTATATTGAAAAGAAAAACTGAATTAAATTTAGTTAGCATTACTGAAACTGGAGAGCCAGGAAAATAAGTTGTAATTGAAAAAACCCATCGCTATGATTAATTTCGCTTTCCTCTTAATTATTATTCACGTACGACTTCTTTTCAATTAAAGCATTTGATTCTTTATTTTCTGTTTTTTGCAGGTTGCCTGTACTTGCCGAGGAAGAGGAACCTGATAAAGCCAAAGCATTAGATAATATTCATAAACCTTTTTTTTTTAAATGTTAGGTCACATTAACCTCTTGAGACCACATTTAAGTTCAATTTATAACTATTTTATTTAACTATATAACTTTATAACTATTTTTATTAACTATATAACTTTTAAACTTTACTAACTTATTTTCATTGCAATAATAGTAATAGAGACATTTATATATATGAAATTCAGTATTTTCTGGCAATTACTCATTACTCTACAATTATTTACTACTCTTACAATTATTTAGAATTCAAAATATAAACACTGTTGCAATAGTAAATTATATTTTGGTGTAC